GTCGAAGAAGAGTTTCGGCCTTCCAACAACAAATTGAAGAAAGAGTTTATCCCGTCCAAGGACATATTGAACAACAAATCAAAGACAGAATTTGTGCTGTCGTCGCCAAAGAAGTTAACACTCTAAAGAAATTCGTAGCGACAGCAGGGAGCATTTCGGATGGTTTAAAATTTCTACCCATGCCTGCTCGTCCCTCTCTGAAGCTATCGACATATGATGGGAAGACCTCCTGGCAGGTGTAAAAGACACAATTTTCTATCGTGGCGGATGCGAATGGATGGGATTCCCAAGCTAAGGCCTGTCATCTCGCCGCTTTTTTAAGAGCCGACGCAGCGGATATCCTTCAGACTCTTCCCGAAAACAAAAGGTTAGATTTCGAAGCTCTGTCCAGCGCCTTGGAGTTGCGCTTTGGGGAGAAGTGTTTAAAAGACTACAGCAGGCTCCAATTAAAATCTCGTCAACAGAAGCCTATCAAAACACTTCAGGAGCTCGCCACGGATGTTGAAAGGCTGTCCCATCTCGCCTTTTCAGAATGCCCAACAGAAACAAGGGAAATCCTGTCCTTGCAATACTTTATCGACGGCATCTGGGATACTGAAATACAGAAAGTACTGCAAATGACGGATGTTAAAGATTTGAAAAGTGCTTTAGTTTATGCCATGAAATTCGAGGCAGCCCAGCAAGCCACTCGTCGAGACCACCACCCAGTCAGAGGTGTGCGAGTCCACGAGCCAGGGGATCAACTGACGGCTTGTTTAGATGATTTAACCAGAGAAGTCAATGCTTTGATACAGAGGAGTGAGAACAACGTGGCTCTAAGGTGTTGGAAATGTAGTATTGAAGGGCATATACGACGGGAACGCAGAACACCCCAAGGCACGGATAATAAAACGGATGATTTGACAAGACCAGTGAATGCCTCGAGACGGAATATTGATGTGAAGAAACCAACCCTAAAGTGCTGGAACTGCGGTATTGAAGGCCACATACGAAGGAACTGCAGAACCCCTAGAGCACGGAAAATAAGAGGTGGGTTAAATAGACAATTAAATACCATGGGACAGAAAAGGATTGACAAGAAACCAAAGTGCTGGAACTGTGGAACTGAAGGTCACATATGAAAGAATTGTAGAATACCCCAGGGTACAGAAATTGAGACCATTTCTCAGCAACGACGCAGGAAACAAATTAATGACCATATCAAGGAACGGAGGTTGCCAGACAATGAAAAACCTTGTTTTAAAGCACTCAAGATTTCTAGAGTGGCAACAGTAACGGGCTGTCCATCAATGGGCATATCGATGGAATTCCTTGCAATATGATCATTGACACAGGAGCTAATGTTACCATCATTAGGAAAGATTTAGCTGAACTGTTTAAAGATAAACTTATTTGGACGCCATCCTGTGTTACCCTTCAGACTGTGTCTGGTGACAAGATTGAGATAGCTGGGAAGTTAATACGTGAAGCATCAACTTTTGGAAGTGCCGCCTACCATCACATGGCATATGTGGCGGAATATTACAGATCCATGCATACTCGGACTGGACATTTTAATCGGAAATGGACAATTTTTCCTTAGACGTCAAAAACAACAAAATGCTTTCAGCATTCTGGTGACATGACTGTCCATCCTCAGAAGAGATCCTCACCTGGAAATGCCGACATCTTGTCCGAAGGACCCAGCTCGGGAAGCCGCCGAAATCATGCTAGGGTCGAAAAGAAACGCAAGACTACCAGCTATTCTCCATCCCAGAAGCTCTTCGGTCGAGATCTTCGTCTGCCTTGTGACTGCCTGTTTGGTCGCCATACGGATGCACCTTCATTGCCAGAGGAATACATCCAAGATGTCCAGGCTCGTTTTGAAGTGATGCACCGTTCGGCAGGAAAGCGAGTCAACCTAGCGACGGAGAAAGTGAAGTCCAGATACAACACGAAAGCTACTAGACATAGATCCAACAAAGGTGACAAGGTGTGGTTGTGGAACCCGATTCAACGAAAAGGACTTTGTCCAAAATTACAGTCACCTTGGGATGGTCCATACACGGACCTAAACAGGCTGAATGACATCGTGGTTCGGATCCGTAAGTTTTCGAACTCTAAACCTAAAGTCGTTCATTACGACGGGTTAGCTCATTACTATGGCCATAGTACGTAATATAAATAATTGTAAATAGTGTAAGACCATGGTCCTTTTTGTTTCTAAATGTATATTTGATTTGATTTGAATTTTGTATTTGATTTGTATTTAGCATTTGATTTGTTTAAAGTTAGCTATTGCATTTATGCCACAGTTGTAAGTTTGGCTTCTTGTCCAGAGATTATACTGCCCGGGACGTTCAGTCCTTGGGAAGGGGGCAGTGTTACAGATTTGGTATTTAAATAGCTAATGTTATTTGAATTATAAATTAAATTGTTTTATTCCCCGCTCAATGCAGCGCGTGATGAATATTAAAGGACAGCTAAGCCGGAAAGTTAAAAAACAAGAGCCCGTGCATTTAACATTTAATAAATAAATATCTCTTTTTGATTTCCAGAAAGTACTAGAAAATTCTCACATGCCATTTTAAAACCTTATAAAAGGAGGAAAACCTCTCAGTTCGTAGAAGTTACTTAGTTCGTTGTTGTTTAAAAAACTGCTCTTATTGACTATAGCGAATTCGCGGATTAGCTTTCTTTAGCTGTTTTGAATTAAGTTCTTTTGAACGTTTGAGTAGTTAAAAGATAACTAATGTGAGATTTTGTAACACTGCACAAATATTTGAGGAAATTTAAGCATATTTGTTGTGATTATAATAAATTTTTGTTCATTTTTCATCGGACTTGTGCATTCATTTCAAACGAACCCGTACGCACGCGACAATATGCAAGTTTAAAATTCTATTAACTGCAATAAGTAGCATTGATTTTCTACTCAATTTCAGTTTTTAAGTGCTTAAGTTTCCTTCTTACATTTCAGGAAAAATTTATTTAGTTTGTACGAAATACAAAAGTAACATTATTCCTTTGTTCCACTTGCACATATGTGAATATGCATTTACAGCATTTAAAGGCCTAAAAATAGCTGTCTGTGATATTATCAAGCTATAAGTTTGTAGGTGCTTTACTTTTTACAGTAAAATTTTTAAACTGGGAAATTTTTGAACAGTTTTATTTTCAACAACAATGTTTTAGATCTGTGAAGTTTTCATCTTTGCTTTCTTTTCTCCCATGATGTTTTCATGCACAGTTTTTTCCACCTGTAACCGAGTAAAAATTACCAACCAAAAGGCAAATTAGGTTTATGCATATGAACCTTGAATATAATGTACATATATGTCCATGGTACTTCTATTTAGTCTAAACAAAATATACATACGTACATTCCTGGAATGGAATTCTGAAATGGAAAGAGTTAATAAAGTATTTATTAATATGCAGCCGATATCAATCACTTTTTATTACGCTACATTAATCGCTAAAAAATACTAAAATCAAAATTTTGGTATAAAATAAGCCTCCTTAGTTATACTCTTTTGCAAAAAAATCAAAGCATCAAGAAGGACTTTTGCGATCATGATGGAATTTAGTATGCAAAAACATCTTAATCAAACATGTAAATGATTAAAGTTTCAAGGCAAATGAACAAAAATTGTGATCGTAGCACGCATTTCTAGTGTTCAATTCGCAAAGTATAAAATCAGTAATAGAGGTGGAAAATTAATCTTTTTTTTTTTTATTGCTGCCATTGCAATTCCGTACAAAAGCAACTAAAGATGCCATTACGATGATATCAAACACCTTACAGAGAACGACTTTTTTCGAACATGGTGGCATTGTATGTTGCGTGAAGCTGGGTGGTCATACCCAGCAATAGGCCGCCACCTGCAGCATACAGACACTGCTGTGCAAAGATGTTAGCATCAATGATTGTACAAGGGAATTGTCGATGAAATGAAGGCTCTAGAAGGCCAAGGAGCATAAATGCGAGGCAAGATAAAATTATTTTTCGCCAGGCCTGAACCGTCCCAACAGTATCATTGTCGACTATTCAATGCACTACAGCCATGTCTATACCCCCCCATGGTACTGTTCACATTTCACGCCACTTGTGTGAGGCGGGGTTACACTCACAGAAGCCTTTAAGACGTTTGCCTTTGACCCAACAACATCGGCGGAGTCATCTGGAATGGTGTCGCAGCCGATCATCATGGCTGCCATCAGACTGGTATCGTATAGTGTTTAGTGATGAATCCCACTTCACTCTTGAAGCAGACAACCACCGTGTTCATATCTGGAGAGGACGGGGCCAGCAGTCCCAATCAGCTTTTGTTTTACAAAGGCATACAGCCGTAACCCCTGGTGTAATGGTTTGGGTTGCTATTTTATATGACAGCACGACATTTTTAGTCATCCTCCGTACATCATTAACAGCTCAACAATATGTTAGTACCATCCTGCAGTTAGTTGCATTACCCTTCATTGCATGTCATCTTGGGGCCATTTTCCAACACGATAATGCCAGGCCACATACTGCTTGCGTATCTCTGGACTGTCTCCATGCAGTTGATACTCTTCCTTGGCCAGCAAGGTCACCAGACCTTTCACCAATCGAATGTGTCTGGGACACGGTACGCTGCCAGATTCGGGCACCACAAAATATCACAGATCTGGTGCAACAGCTGATGAATCCCTCGCAGAATGACATTAGGAACCTCTACCACTCCTTGCCTCGATGAATTCAAGCACGCATTACCGCCAGGGGCAGTTCGACCAACTACTAATTTGAACACTCAATGGGTGATTGTGAGCCGTGAACAGGTAATACTATGACCTTGATTTTTTAATTATTTTATTATCTGTGTATGAGCTATACACATATTCAGTTTCAACAAAAATAACCACTTTCTTCATGGTGCTTCGATTTTTTTGCAAATTCATAATATTTATATTCATAATTCATAATATTTAAACTGAAAATTCTGTCATTTTAAATGCTTAAGTACTTTAATTAGTATCACCTTATTTTTAAGACATTCAGTCAAGAAAGTCAAATTCCCTCTTTTAGCAGCTTCATGTAACGGATGAAGCACTTCTTCAGTACTCTCTTCCACTAAAATAAAAGATTTTTTTAAAAAATTATAATAGATTAAATTTTGAGAATGGGCATAAATATTTTAGAGAAAAAGAAAGATTCACAGGATTGATTTTTGATAAAAGGAGCTATGCTTAACACATAAAAGTACTTAATACAGCACAAAGTCTGAGGACCGGATGTCCAATATCCAGAATGATCTAAAATCCGGACCTTAAAGCCACCAACAAAATTTTTTTTTATGCTTTACGCATGCGCATCTTACTTTTTCCCCCGTAAGAAAACATGTGGAGAATCCATATTTTTAATTTCACTTCGGCACTAAATAAAATACCTCGTCATTGAAGAAACAATTATCTTAGCATAAATTTGTGTGATCAATAATTTGGCTGCGTATCTGCTTGGCTATATCCCAAACCAAAACATACATAGAAACATCGCTCATTTTACAACTACTAATATTTTAATCCCTGACGCCAACCTGGTGAATCATTATTTATTATATTTTGCTTCAGCACTATATGTTTATCAACACATGACAACTTGAGTAACGAATCATGCAGCAATATGCCTAAACAATTTCTTTTATATTAGCAATTGAATAACAAAAGTATGGAAACCTTTTATGTTGACATTCTGCTTGGCAATGATTACAGATTTAAGTTAATTGCACTTAAATGTTGACAAGGAAAAAATTAACAAAAATTTCTTTCCATATGCTAAAAATATAATTTGTTAAAGGGAAGACCAAATTTCTGGCATTTAGAGAAGCACTGAGTGACAAAATAAAGAGATTATAAAATTTTTAGAATTTTGGGAAAGCAATGGAACCCAAAATTAAGGGACTGCAAAAATTTAGAGCTTAGGAAGGTGCTTGGTAGCAAAATTTAGGACCCGCAGAGACTGCATCAGGCGACAAAATATCTAGCACCAGCCATCAATAAGCTTATGTGGGCACTTATTTATTCAAAACTCATAAGTGCCTTAAGCATGTGCAAGAATTAGACGTGTTGTTGTTGTTGTTTCTCATCCCCGTGACCAGCAGAGCTAGATCAGGTCCATGAGCCCAACCCTAAAAGAATCCAGTACAAAAAGGGGGTCATGAACCAAATCCTGCCTAACTAGCCCCAGACAAGATAAGATGTGGTCAGGAGAGGCCTGTGTGGATGAACACAGTGCATATTTTAGACTGTTTATTACCACCGACACAAGTCATTCATAACAAATGGCCACTAAGGAATCTAGTAAGTGCAGTTTGATCTTGTCTATTGCCACTCTGAACCAAGGAGCCACCAGGACACTTACTCTGATACCATGGCTGCACTGGTGGGACCATCCAAAAGGCCTTATTCTTTGCCATGCATGTAGCTCCATATAAGTGAGAGGAACGGCAGGCGTTATGGTCTCGCTAACACCAGCTCTAACCAAGCTGTCCACAATTTCATTTCCAGCAACATCAACATGGGACGGAATCCACTGAAAGTGGATCCGATGAGAAAGGAAAAGTTGTTTTGGTTTCCTGAGGATGTATGTACTTGTATAATCCCTCACATTATGCCAATCAGCCACGTGCTGGACAGCATTTCTACTTCCGAAAATATTCAGATATCTTTTAACTGAGGAAGCCACATGATGGAATCCAGACCCTCTAGAATTGCAATAAGCTTGCTTCAAAATACCGAGCAGAAGTCTGGATTTCTTCTTTGAATTCTTATTTCTTAATCCCGAAATTTAATATAAATGCCACTGCCAGAACTGTCATTAACAAGTTTACTGCCATCCGTATACATGTGAACAGTATCCATAGAGACATTATTAATTATTTCAAGAGCTAATTGTTTCAAGTAGCATGGCAATCCATCTGTTTGCTAACTTGGACAGAAAGGTTAACATGAAAGTAAATCCCACTGAGACCTTCTGAGGGGTCGATAATCTAAGATAAGCTGTGATGTTCTATAGAACTAGTGATAAGGTGGTCAGAAACAACCTGTCCAAAGGGACTACCACAATTGAACTTCTGGTTATTGCTCCATGACCCCAGAAATTTCGAGGTATGATTCTGGAGGCCAAGACCAGAGAGCTTATTGTAGTACTTCACTAAACATGCATTTCTGCTAAGACTTAAAGGCTGCAGATTGGGTCCATAAAACACAATATCTTTTGGGCATAAATTGCGAAGGCCAGTAATAATCCTTGCAGCACTGAGCTGTACATGTTCAAGTTTCAGTAGGTTTGAATCAGAGGCACAACAGAAGATGGGGAAGTCATACTCCAAAATGGGTCAAATAAGGATAACATAGGTGTTCCTGAGGGTACTAGCATCGACACCCCATTCACGGCCCGACATATACTTAAGGATATTAATGCGTTTCCTAGCTCTCAAAACAAGATGTCCCAAGTGACTATTACCAATATGAAGGCCAAATACTTCGGGTGCTTCTCCACTTCCAAAGGCTGACTGTTCAACAGTATTCTTGGTCAAAAATTATATAATTTTCTATTGGTTGTGAAGACACTCACAGTAGACTCTGAAGGGTTAAAACTTAATTTGTGGTCTACAGCAAAGCTCCATATGTCAGTTAGAGCCAGATTCATACTCTCCTCCACCTTTCCAATATCAAAGCCGGAACTCTAAAGAACAATGTCATCTGCAAATAGTCTAATTTCATACTTCTCAGGAATGACTTTTTCAATTCCTACAATAAAAAGAGTGAACAAGGCAGGGCTCAAAATTGAACCTCGAGGAACACCTTGGCTTATGTTAAAACCATATGAGGTCGGACCATTGAACCTCACCCTAATTCGTCTATTTCTCAAAAAATCATAAATCCAAGGCAGTGCTCTACCACGTATGCCGAACTTATCATATAATTTGGCAAACAGACTCTGCGTCCAAACTCTCGAAGGTCCTAAAAAGGTCCAGGAAGGCAGCTCTAGTGTGATGTGTAGGTTTCTTGTTATTAGCATCTTGTAATTCTTGGGCTAAAATAAACCACCTAGTCAATTGCGCTGTGTCCTTCTCTAAAACCATACTGCTCCATCGAGAGAAGGTTGTGGGAATCTAAATAAAAAGCAAGCCTCTTTAAGATCAGTTTCTCCATAATTAAACGTAAAACTACATTAATTAAACATAAAATTACATGAGATGGAAGTCAAAGCAATGGGTCTAAAACTCTCAGCAAAAGCAATGTCCCTTCCAGGTTTTCTAACAGGCACCACAACTGCCTTTTCCCAATCATGAGGAAGACGACCCAGTCTCCAGAAGTCGTTCATGATGTCTAAAAGTCTCTGTTTCCCATGTGGGCCCAAATGAAATATCATTTTTGACCGTGAATACCATCTGGTCCAAGTAAAGAATTTAATTTCGAACCTGAGATCGCAATATCAAGCTCCTGAACTGAGAAAACTCTGCTGAAAATAGCCGGGCCCACATGAGGATTACTATGACAGCCATGAACAACATTATTCACCATGATCTTCACATACTTGTCGTTGTCAGTGAAATTCAGTTTACTCATAAATTGGTAATGCTTCCCTAAAATGTTAGCAGCCTGTTCATGATTTTGAGCAAAGACTCCACCTTAGAATAAGCAAAGACTTCATCCAAAATTAGACGCAAGTATAATAAATAACTAAATTAATACAATTCTGAGCCAAGACTCCATCCAGAATTAGACGTTAAGTATAATAAATAACTAAATTAATACAATTCAGGCTTAATTGTCTCAGTGCGCAATAGAAGTAAGACAAAATTTAAAGGGACATTTTGTCTTTTGTCGCATGTCTTATGCTAGATAGCCAAAAATGTATAGCAGACGCTCCTTTTAAGCTAGACTAAAATTATACTTTACTGATGCCAAACAATTTCAGTTAATATATCAGATTGCACTGTTCCTTAACGTTCTGATATGATGTAGCTTATTATTTTTAATTATAACAATTATTACAGCAATTTTATGAAAACTAAAGTTTGAACTTTCGATTATGTTAAAAATAGTTTTTAATTCTGGAGCTGCAACAGGATCTACAAAGCGAAAGCATGTTTCAATGTCCATCAAACAAAAAGTCAAATAGCTGCAAAAAATGGATATAGGTATATCCGTCTCAAAATTATGCGAGGAGTATGGCATTGGAAAGTCAACTGAATATGGCATAACAGAAAAAGGAATTTTTTGTGGATTTTGTCACACCATTCGCAATGAATAACAGAAAAATTATTCGCTATGCTAAAATTGACAATTATGACAAAGTGATGGTTGAATGGGTCAGACAGCATTGCAGCCAGGGATGTGGAGTCGGAATCAGGTAGATTTTTGGGTAAAAGGAGTCGGAGTTGGAGTCACTAAAAAACACGTCGACTCCGACTCCAGTTTTTGTTGGACAGTTTGAATTTGAAATGAAATTAAAGTGCATTGAAAAAGAATTAACGACAAACTGAGTTAATATTTTTATGTATATACAATATATATTAATAAATAGTTATTTTCTATTTTATTGGCATATTAGTAAATAAATATAAGGGAGTAGGATGGATGTGATATTTGCCATATTAAACTGATTCATTTAGTTACTAATCTCATTGGTGAATTGAGGTAAGCAGGAAGAACTTCCAAAATTGATGCCATTCTTAGGAAGCGAGCAGGACAAGGAGCAATTGTTGATCAAGCAAATGATAAGGAAGTACATATTTAATGATAATAGTGGTTTTGCTAGGATTAAAAATCTTTTTCAGAAGATATTAAATAACCCTATATGTTTCACTAACAGAAAGACTGTGGAATGATCTTGCAGAACTAGGCAAACTCTTCTTTCAACACCGTATATAATAGCCACAAAAAAGCTGCAATTCTGAAGAATTCACAAGAGGCAAGCTGGAAGAATGGTGATGTTTGTTCTTTCTGAAATGGAGGGTTTATTGCAGAAAGGAATCATTTTCTTCAATGAAGAAAATAGAAACTAGTTTGCTAGACAATAAGATTGCTTGCTAGGGTTCAAAATATGTAGATTCAAAAACACCG